GAGATTATAAAGGCTAGCGACGCTCTTGCATTTCTGTTAATAATATACTCATTTTATTAGTATCTTCTACTTCCCATCCTTATGAAAATGAGGCCAAATCTCATTTTTGAATTTAGTAAAAAGAAGCCTTAAATTCGCAATCTCAATAAAAAATTAAGTTTTGAGATAATCTGTGTTTACATTTAAATTAAAAAACTTGGCCTTCCTTATGATTATTTTCTCCAAATTAGTTAATAATTTTTTTTTGAATATTTTATTTATTTTGTGCACATTCATTTATTTATGAAAATAAAAAATAGCCACGTTTAAATTTTTATTCTCAATTCCCTTTAAAATGGCAGCCTAGGTATTCTGTAATTTCATGATATTATATTCATTGTTGAAGGATTAACATATAATAAATATTCAAATAAGTTACAGATTGCAACATTCCGACGTCAATCATAACACCATCCACCTTTACTCATCCTACATAGACCATTAGCCTAAGAGAAGCCGTCATGACTGTTTCAAACTAATCCCCAGATATAATAATAATTAATAATCCTTGTTTGACAGCTCTAAGGACTCCATTGTCAATAACACTAGATACCATTTTTTGTCTTTTTTTAAAAAAATTTGACATTATATAGTCTTTATAGTAACGCGTAATAAAATAAAAGCGAACGCGTTTGCTAATTTAAAACATGTTCATTTTTATTTTCGTAAACGAATTTTTGATCGTGTCGATTTTTTGACAACGAACGATAAAAAGCAGACGAGTTTTTTTTTTGATAAAACAAAATGTTAACAGCGCTATATTTCATTAATTTTTATTCTGTATATTATTCCGATTCACAACTGACCTGTTACATCGATTCTAATAAATCAAAGTCCTTATCACCAATCTCATTAGTAATTTTTGTCGTAAAATTAAAAGTAGTTTATATATATATATATAATTATACAATTTTATAGCAATATATAACATATCCCCACCGGCTCCCATTATAATCACATATTCCCAATAGCTCCCATATAAAAATAGTAAAACATAACCAAATCCCGATAATAGATATGGACACGATAGTTATTCAAACCAATTAATAGTTGGTTCTTCACCTGCTGATATAGGTTTTTTCGACAATTGGATAAATATTCGTTTCGAATATTGGCTTAACAACTGTTCCATATGATTAAACAACGTGTAAACTTTGAAAATATATTCGTCGGAAATGGATACGTGGTTTATAGTAAAATTGAATTGAGTAGTTTCCTAAAAAGATATTAGAAATAATGTTATAAAGTTGTTAATTTAAATTTTAAAATAGCCAGGGAAGTCATTGTTAGGAATTGTATATCTTAATTTTTTAATAGTTTATGGAAATATGTTGAGAAATAAAAAATTATTAATAAAATCATTTTTATCTTCCCTTAGAATAATATTAAATAAATTCCATCCCTACTTATTATCTGAAATTTCCAATTTTTAAAAAAAAAGGTATTTCCCAATATTAAAAATCTATATCTAATTCTTATAATCAAAACAAAATTATATTTTATTTGTGTTCTACAATAATTTTTTTCCTTAAGACATTTTGCCTGAGGATATTCTTCCCCCCCCCCTTAGACTTAGTCTTAACAGACGTCAAAAATAAAACGAAATAATGTATAAAAGTGCTAAAATTTGATAATTGATGCTTTAATTTTATTTTTCGTCTAAAAAATTTTGATAAATTATTTTTACAACGAAATTTGAATTGACCTTTTTTTAAAATTCACATAATATATATAATATCAAGATATAAGGCACTGGCTGATTTCATAAACTACAGTTTAAGGCAGAAAGATTCCAGGACTTTACTAAAGGGGGGGGGGTTACTGTTAGGCATTATCTTCTCTAGAAATTTTATTAGAGATTTCTAGGTTCTACTTTTGTTGGCCCTTTGGCTAGATTAAAAATAATTTTTATGTTAAATTTCAATTTTTCTAAATAAAAAATTATTTTTAAATTATATAGTAGTTAATGATAATTCTTTCTTCAACCTTATTTAAATTATGTGTATCAATCCATTTATCATTCTTTTCAATGATTAATATAAATTTGTTTATTGATGTCCTGTCTTGTAATTCATTCAATTCCAGCGCCAATGTGTAAGATTGTTTCCCTGATCGCAATGTTCGCAATTGAAGCGAAGGAATATTCGGCCAACGATCTATAATAAAAAGTTTCAAATAATTATGGAATTTGTTTTTTTTTGTATAATAAATTAAATATTACCAAATACGCTAATTTCTTCCTGACCATTTTCTAAAAATATAAAAATAAGAAAAGAAAAATATTATAATTAAATTTTGTAATAAAAAAAATATTTTTTAGATAAAAACATATGATGTATAAAGACATATTGAAATCTGCCATTTGATAGACATTTAAACGAAATGACCTTTCTTTGATATATAACTCATCAAACGATATTGACTCTCTACAGCTGACTTTAATATATGTAAAACCTTTAATAATTCGTCAAGAGTCTAGGTCACTTAAAAAGCAAAACCTTCATTATAAATTTATTTTGAAGAGGAAAAAATGTATGAATAATATTTACTTTTCATAAAAAATTTCGGAGTAGATAAATTTTCCATCATTGAGTTATTCTTAGTGGGAATCAGTGTAAATATTCGAACAAAATAATATTCAGTTTCCTCCAAGTCAGAAATGTGGAATTGTTTCTTAAAATAAAAAAAATGGATTCATAAACGATATAAATATTATTATAAATATGAACCCCGATTATAAGATCTTCTCCGACCATAACAGCGTATGTTTTTTCTACTTTCCCGGAAGATCTCTCATCCATTTCCTCGTTATCCACATTATTCGTGTTCAAATTCACGTCATATTTATCAGTTATTTTCCAAACTCTATAATAAAATGTGTGATTTGGATAAGGGTACTTAGCAATTAATTCATCATTAGCTCTCGGAATATCAAAATTAACCCTCACCGAATATTTCACTTTTTCCGAATCTAGCGAATAAATATTGATTCCCGTCACGGACCATCTATGAGTTTCTTATTTAATTTTTTAAAATAATAAAATATTATTAATATTTACACAGTTATTTAATTTGTTTCAAATTTCGTAAAATCAAATCCATAAATTTTTGTTTAATAAAATATAAAATTTTTTTTAAACGTTTTAAATAATATGCCTCTAAATATATTTTAATCATAAAAATAGCTATAAAATAAAATAAGAATTATTTCGAAAAGGGACAAATATAAATTTTTTTTTGAATTGAATTTATGGGTGATACAATGAATTTGGTGAATATATCATGATTTAAGCTTAGAGCCGATTATCGAAAACCAAACCAAATTATGTACAAATCGAACCGGGTTTGGACAAACTTTATTTATTGGTTGTGAAAAACAATATATTAAAACACTCATAATATTTTAAATATATGAAAAATTTTACATTAAGTTATCTTGATAATTTTTCAAAATTATATTTTGAGGGGGGCCATATTATTTATTAAAAATAACTAATTTGAGTATTAGATTAGTATAATTGAAACATAAACTCTTTTTTTAAAAACTTTGTTTTTCTAGAGGATCATAAATTTTAAAGTAAAAGAATTTAAAGCAAGAGTCTATGAAGCTTTTTGTTTTTTAATAATTTAGAATAAATCTTACCATATGTTTCAATGTCAGGAAGGGAATCAAATCCAGAACCACTGTTAGCCTCAGCGATATTGGCTATCGTTGTTACATGATAAATGATAGAAATAAAAATAATTAACATTTTTTATTTTGTAAATTTAAAAGTTAAAATAATAATAAAACAATTTGGGCTAAATTTGGTAAAAAAATATAATTATATTAATCTGTTAAATTATCATAATAAGCATAAATAAAATAAAAAATATAGTTATTATTATATTATATGTATCATTAATATAATTATTGTTGTTTATATATATATTTAAGGTCTAAATATTATGGTCTATCGAAAATATTGATATTTATTTGTTATGATTGATAATTAGTAATAAATTGATAATAATTTAATATATATGTCGCATGGGGATTCGGAATCTCTAAATTTTAAATCATTTATTAAGGGCGATTTTTGGATTTTAAATATCTGATTTTATAGGAATTGTATTCCAGTATATGGTATTTACCCTATAAATTTTAGACAATTTCAGCCACATTTTAGTATTTTTTTTTTAATTTATAAGAAAAATCTATATGAATATTAATATAAATTAGAAGTAGTTCTAAGGTTCATGGCAAAATTGTTTAAAATTTACAGTTTGGGGAACTCTACCCATGTAAGAATACATTTCTGGTTAAAATTTTTTTAAATCGCCCAAAGGATATAAAATCAAGATATTATTCCGATAACCCATACATCTTCTTTGATAGATAATATGCTAACAAATTTATTAGTTTTATCCTGTTATAATAAATAATTAATTTAAGACTTTTCAAAAGACACTCTTAGATTAGGGCGGCCTGATCTCCGAAGGCCTAAATCAAAATATTTTTAGGATAGTACAACATGTCCTAAAAATAAGGGCCGGGGCAGAGTTAGGACCATCTTTTAAAGCTTCTTAGATAACAAGAAAATTAATGTTTACTTCATTAAACAAAATATATATCTCTAGACCGAACAAAAAAATCTAAGGGGTAAGGTGGGCCACGCTGGTCTCAATTATAAGACTAAAACTCGTTAAATTATTTTCATTTCAAAAAGAAAAAATTACAGTGATTTAGCTTTGAACGCACTACCCTCGGAGTTGGTAAACAGGATGTTGAAACAAATGAATGTATAAAATCATGATCAATTTTCCTTCACATTAAAAGAAACATAGTTGCGATATATTTTGATTTTCTCTAAATTATATTGCTTTCTCCATTTTTCAATAAATCCTATTTTTTTTTAGATGAACACTTCTGCAAACAACCAGGTCAGGCATTTTGAGCCAAGCATAGGTCTACTATTAAAATTTCGACTTCCTAACTTCCCAACAAAAAATTAATCCTAAATATGACAATACCCCGAAAAAAATGAAAAAATGGGGCTCAAAATTCATATGGTATATTCTTTGCTACATC